TTAACTGTACCAAAAACACTTCTTCTACTTCTTGCGCGCGACGTTCACTTCGCGTTGCTGCCATTTTTCTAAATGCCCTGCTCCCGATGTAATGCCTACTGTCTCCTTCAATAAAATCTTGGTACATGGATTTATTCTGATATATCTGGCGGGACCGTACGGAACATTTAGTGGTGATCATAGTCAATCTGGTGTCTTGACTCGCTCACCAAACATTAAACAGCCTCCAAGAATTCGCTTCTGTAAATGATACAGTATTAACGTTTTAAGTTAACCAATAGCATGTTCGTTAATGCGGTTAAAAGCAGAGTTCAATAGGGAAAAATAGTACTTAAAGGGATATTCAAGGGAATACGAGAGTGGATTTCAGACCCTTAGCACGTAGATGTTAAGAAACTTTTGACTTTGTATACAGTAATTGTTCTACCTTAACCCCTAAATAAAACAGGCAATAATCTGTTACAAAAGTTCCAAAAAAACCATGGTTAGGTTGATCCAGGAGCTGCTGTATAACGACAGGCTACTACTTCATTTATAGAGGTGAACTGGAGGAGACTTTACACTTGATAAACTACTTTGAAATGATATAAAATTTACCAAATTCTCATTTTCTCTTGCTTAAAAGTGAAGGATTCTGTGTAAAATGGTTACAGTCTGGAAAGAAATTCCTTGTCAAACGATTGTGAACTTTCCTATCAAGTCATTAAAGCGTGAAACTCGTTGGCAGAACATCTCATTGAGCATATATCAGCGGATCCCAAAAACGGTTATCTAGGAAACTGCCAAAACATTTATAGTGGAATGCTTTTACAAAGAGAACGCAGGTTTTGAAATGAAAACATCCATTATTATAACCAATTGTGTTTTTTAAACTATACAGTTTTTATAACATGTCTTACCGTGCAACTTTCTGCTTGTGTTGCTGCCATCTTTGATTTGGCTGCTCTTTATTTCGCCTATTTTCTTGGTGTAATTTTGGTGTTCTTTCGAAACCACGAAATCATCAGTGAATATATTCTTTACCTTGGATTTATTTATCTTCCCAGTGACGGTTAATCACACCAAAATTGGTGAGCTGTCGTCTCACCCAAAGAAGTCCTTTACGGTGAGTCTATTATTCATCTCTCCGAATTTTCATCAAGTTGCAATACTATGAATTATATCTTTTAATATATATTGTAATTGCAAAGACATTTCGAAATGGTTGATAGCTATAATAATAGACTCCAAGGTGCAGGACATTGCATTCTCCTCCCCGTCACTTCAGCTTCTTAGTTTATTTTAAGTGCACGGTTTTTGCAATAACGCTAGGTACTTGGTGGCCCAAATTTCTGTCGTATCGTTTGGTAGCAGCAAGTCAAAAGCCACGATGCTTCGATCACGAGCTGCGAATGGCTCTATCATTCCTACCTACGATACACGACAGCTAACGATCAACCTGGACAATCGACGACAGTACCTGTGGACGTTCATCACTTCTGATGTTCCCATAGCCGTACTCGGTTTCGATTCCCTACAGCTCTATAAATTGCTATTTGACCCAAGCAGGCTGAGGTTACTCGATACTTCGTCGAATATCAAATCCATGGGTTCTAACGCACAAACAGATATGTACTGAATCACTGATACATATTTCGCATTAGTATTTACTTCATGTTGTCTGATAAATTCCTCAAAGTAACGAAACCGAGGAGGTTCTGTCGGTGATTAATTATGTGGTCGGTCACATCTTTACATGCAGACCCCCCAGTTACGGCAAAACCTCGTCCACTGGCAATGGACAAACTAGTTTTCGCTAAGAGTGAGTTTGACAGTTTACTTGCTGTATGTTTGACTTCGACTTTCTCACAGTCCTCAAGACTCCTCTCTCCACTCGGTTCGCAGAAACATGGCATTTGTTGGAGACGACACGGCGATTACGAAGCAACAACGGCAGATGTTCCGCCTCCGAACTTGTATACGGCATGACACTGGGTCTGCTTGAGGAATATTTTCACACTACGGAACAGCGATTTTAATGTATATCAGATAACGTCTAACAACTATCTGCGTAGATGCGAATACTGCCTCCGGTGTGAACTCGAATATAACGTCGACAGATCGCTTTCGCGACGAATATCCCAGTTAACGACGGATACAGCGTAGGACATTATCCTCATACTACATGCACCCTACACCATTCCCTTCGTCTTTCATTTCATATCCTGAGCCCATGTCTACGACCATCGTCCTGTTGGTACCATCCCTCCTGCACGAGGCCCCTGCGAATCGAAGGTGTAAACCCTTTCTAGGAGGGCTGCTGCGGTTGAAAACCTCTACTAAGAAAAAACGACTGGTAAAAAATTAACATTTATTATTGCACCCGTATTGTTTAACTGTACCGAAAACACTTACGCGCAACCTTCCTTTTTGCGTTGCTGCGATCATTCCTAACTTGCTGCTCACTGTATCGCCCTCTTTCTCCTTCTAATATACTCTCTACCCTAGATTTACTTCTGCTTTTCGTGACAGGATAGTAATTAGTATTTAGCGGTCATCATAGTCAATCTCGAATCGGTCATAAAATTACTTGGCACATATTCTATCCTAGTTGATCAACAAAAATGTAGTTCAGTTGAATTACTTGCACGTTACGCCACTGATGAACGCACTGGGCTAAATTCACAGACAGAGTGAGTACTTTTACTGAGCTCCTAATGGTCTGAATCTGTTGCCTAGAAAGAAAAGATTGAAAGTTTTGAGGCCATCTAGCAGTAAAATCTGTGAATTCATTTCGATAATCTTTCTACAACATCAAAGAAACGAATTGTTTTGGTTCTATGTCTAATACCACTAGTAGGTAAAATGATCCAAGTAATTCTCCAAGCACCATATGACAGTTCGCTATCCAACCTCGGAAGACATTTTATAAGTTTTCAGTAAAGAGAATGATTGAAGTTCTCTCTACCACTAACTACTGATTCAATGCAAAACAGACTAAGATAACTGACCTGGAGTTTATCACCGTTATGCAAGCTTTCATAATGAGCCGTCAACATTACCAAGTTCAAGATTTTTGATTACAATGCTTTGACATTACTAGATAGGCAGTGAACAGAGACTGCATGAAATCATCCAGCAATTTGGGGTACACGTCAGTCGTTTAAAGAGGATCACCCAGTGCAAAATAGCTCTGGAAGTAATGAGTCCCCCAGATTTTCAGGTTATGCAAGCGTTCTTTTATGATTAAGTTGCTCCATTTCAACTTTTCAAAATGAATTATCATCAAAACGATTCTCAGAGTCTGAAAGAAAATATTACTGCAGTCAATTCAAGCTCAACTTTTCAAGTCATTTACCACATAGATTAGGACACAGTTTTGGTTCTTACTTGGTTATCCTACACTTTCCAGTGTGTTTTCACTTACTTTCATCCTTTCAATGTAATATTCGATGTTTAATGATTTTACCTGCAGTAACCCTTTTTGATATACGTGAAGGTCTACGGAGTCATGTAACATGGCCAAGTTACGAGTATCAGCTCTAATTGTCTAACGCCATTCAGTGTGATTGGCGGTAATCCTAACGACTTATCAGCAGACAATTCGATTCCAGACACCCAACCTTCCTTGACGTCAAACAAGATTGTCGACCTTAGACTGATTATAAAGGTAGCATAAATTACCCCAACTTATTTTTCAAGATTTTGTACATCGGCCACCCAAGTTGAGGTATTTCCAGTCCTAAAGCAGTGGTGACCCGAATGTTAGAACATAGTGAAGATTAGGGACTAAACAAAGGATCAAGGTTGATCTACTTCTGCTTAACACTGGTGGACTTGAATATCTGATCGCTGCCTGCAGGAAGCCTCGCCTCAATGAGGTTAACCGCAGCAACAACAGAATTTCATTTTCCCAAACGTTTAATGAGTTCTAAGTGCAAATTATGTATTCGACCACCTTACTTGCAGTGGAAGTATATCTCGGATTATCGGTGCGACAAAATTTACTCTATATCACTCAACATCCTGCAGCAGGAAAAATGTTTTAATCCTTTTGGAAGGATTATCTGAAGTCATATTGTACAAACAGTTAGCTGGATTACACAATAGCAGTGATCACTGAAGATGGTGCTGGGATCACTGAGAATTTTACATTCATATCGGAGTCGGATTTGCATTTGGTTCACCATCTTTTCAGGTCGATCGCTTATCAAGGTTAAAGTACGACAAAAATAAGACGATAGGAAATGTAGTCACTTACCAATAACAGTTATCGACAGGCTTCATAATCCTTTTGTTTAACGGGCAGTTTAGAATAGTGACTACTAAAAGAATATATATTAGATCTCGTGTATCCTAGGACAATCAAGTGATCGATGCCGTTCTTAGGAAACGGGTACTACATAAGGTTGGAAGTTCAATAGATGACGTATTGAAATTGCATCAGTTGAGGTGGTTAAGACATGTGTTACGAATGCCTAACCACTGACTGCCTCGACGTGCTATGTTTTGTGGTGTAGGAGAAGGTTGGAAGAAAGCTAGGGTCGACCAAACAAAAACGTGACACAAACCCATGAAGTCACTGACTAGTGGACTGAGTCATGTTGCTAGATGTAGACTACCTGGTTGTGGTCCGCAAGACAATAGTCACCGATGGTTAGGGACCCTGAATGCATCCGTTTTCTGGGTTCTGTCAAATACTGACCTTCTGAATTCCTCATCACCTTTAACCTTCCAAGTTTGTCTACTAGATTCTACTTGTTGAATAAATTCCAACCCTAATCTCTCTGATTACTGCTAACACTTCTACTACCTCTACTGCTATGGGATTTGAATTGACAATTACGTATTTGTGCTAATGTGGTATGGCAACCGGAACTGATGTACGTACGTACGAGGTTCAACGTTGCAACTGACTGACTGAGTGGATCCCTGACATTTGGTTTTACAAAGTAATAGTGTGACCATCTCTACGACATGCTAGTAAGTTCAGCTCTAAAAAGTAATAAACATCATGTTACATCAGAATAGTTTCTTTTTCCCACACATCAAACAGACATTAATTACACTATAAATAAAACTATGAAATCATTAGCATTTATTCAGTTAACATGCAATTTATCTATATCTGTTAATTGTTCTATCACAAACGCTTGGGGAATAGATTGACGAGTCCGTCAATATTGTGAAAATGATTCTAATTTTCTGGTAGCAATCCAGCTAAGTCAAGAATAGTACGACATAAGCTAGTGTACATGAATGAGTCACCACGAATACGTTTCATCTTTATTCCAAGCATTCGATCGTGCTGGTCACGAGAATTCGAAGGTAAACGGGAGGAACCTTTAGAAGAAGTTGATGTATTGGTAGCCATCGCGGGATGGTTTGAACTTTCACTTGACTGGGTAGAAACTATAGGGGCTGCGGGCGACGTTGACCTTAAAGTCATTCGACGACGAACTGAAGCTTCGAATGCTCTGGATGATACATAAACCAGTTCCAGTTCAAATGACAATACAGTTTTCCCCCAATCATTGGCGAAAACACATAGGAAACCAGACCTATTTAAAATAGAAATTTATTATATTTTTATTATTTGAGATTCATGAGTAAATATTTTTGCGAAATTGGCTACGGCAGAAAATATGTTATTTAAATGTGCACGTAAAATTCTAATAGGTAAAGGAAAAATTTTATATGTTCGCCAGTACCAAAGTTATGCTGAAAGACAAGTATAACAGTGATGTAATGCAGTCACGAAAACACTATAATACCACCATATTTTTGCATTATTATACTATTCTTTTTTTTCAAATTTTATCAATAGCCTAAATTTGATAGTCTGCAATTAGTAACGGCAACTCTTAATAATGTCAGGTGTTAAAAACAGAAAGCAAACTAATAATTGAACTTAGAGATTTCAGGCTTAGTAACCTTGCCAAAAAACATTCAGCTTCATTTTACAGATGGTTATAAATATTAATGACTCAACATGGGATTTTTCAGACTGCATTGGTTAGTCAAACTGGAAAAGTTCAAATAACTGACTGCGCTAGCAGCAACAAGTGACAAACCTGAGCGAGCATGATATTTATTATCGCGAACTAGCTTTCTAAAATATAATATAATTTCTTCCTCAAGCAACAAAACAACTAACACAAAAATGTAACAAATAGGCAGCAACAAACCCTTTGAGAGTAAAGCGTATGGACTGTTGCTTCAACGCAGCAGTTATTTGATCAAACACTTGGCCGGGACTCATATCGCTTCGTACAATTAATACATTGTTTAAATGACGTGTTTTTCGTAACCGATCTACAACAAGTCGACCATCAGGTACAACGTTCTTTGGAGTAAGAGCTTTTCGTAAACGCCCGAAATTACGCCAGTTACTAACTTCAGGAACACGACTTGAACTAGTCCCACCTTCGTCAGCTGAGCTTTGGGATTGTGAGAAATCATCCCCGACGCCTCCAGGACTTGAATGGAGAGATGCTACTTCATGCTGTAATTGGGATGACAATGATGAGTAAGCAGCAGATAAATTATCCTCACTAGTAGCCTCAGTTACCGAAATAGGACGTCTCCTATATAAATACAAACAAGATGCGTTTAAAACGTAAATGTGATGGGATCATTGGGATTTTATTCTCTTGAGAAAATGTACAATCATATTTAAGAAGAACAAGAAATATATCAATGAATAACTGATAAGAAACGGTAATTTGTGTTTTTGTTTTAGCTGGATCAAGATCACTTTCAATAATCACAAAAAAATGAACCACTTAATAATAATACATTGGAATTATGAAGGAATTTAATGCAACTGGAAAAAATATGTTCGAGATTTCCGAATACAATTGAGTCAGGCTGAGGGTAGTAGGATTAGCATAAAAAATTAGACATAATTATGCCATAGATAGGTAAAATTGTACTACAGTTAGCCAGTAAGAAATCGCCTAACGATAAGTGCACGCAATTGGTCAGGAAATGGTTTTCATTCGCAAAAGATAAAAAATAAACAAAAACGCTGAAGCTACTGTTACATATAAGGTTATGGGTTCAATTACAAAACATGTATGCCATTTCCAAACTTACAATTCAACAAAATTTGTACGTAAAATTTGCAATAAGATGAGTGATAAAAACACGTAGAGGCTTGAGGTGAGTAAAAATTTCAGATCAAGTATTCGAATACCAAAGAAGTTAAGCCCATCATATTAATCCATTATTAGCAAGTTTATAATCTTAGATTACAAAAGTCAGTTTTAGATATCCATTTTAATGAACATAACTTTAAAAATTCTAACATACTTTTCAGTTAGTTGTGCGTTGTGAAAATCATGCGTCAAATTTATGAGCTGAGAATCCACAGAACGACTAGGAGATAAACCAGGATGATCTGTTACTTTACCTAAAATATTGATAAATTTTTATCCAAATGAAATTGAAATTTAAGGGCAAAAATGTATATCGTTTTATCGTGTTAAATAAATGGGATGTACGTTTAAAATCAAATTAATAGTTTACGAAACGGTAATTGATTAGAAACATATAAGCTACCCGACCTTAGGATGATTATAATGAAAAATAATTTCCAGTTAGTGAAGAAAATAATTTATTTGTAGACCCCAAACAGTTCTTGTAGGACTTTCGGAATTTGCAAATATATATAGTTTTTTCATATACATCATGTTTATTTTGACGTTGATAGAGTATTCGCTTGTCCTAACAATTCAATTACATGTTATTAACATGAGCTGAATACATGTCTCTTAGTGTGTAGAATACAGATCAAGACCATTAGAACTGATTCAAATGAGAGCATATTTCACTGAATATTTAGATTTTAATACCTTTCCCTGTAGAGCAGTATGTTCAAAACAGGCTGCTCATTGATAGACCTCATTCAAAAACGTGCTGACAAGTGCTAACAACACATGATAATTAACAAAAAAATGAAACTACCTCGAGATTGGGGAATCATTTTGTTTATTGGAACCATATCAGGGAAAGAGAACTGAGGGGGACAATTTTCGATTTCACTTTTAGTGTGACCAGTCCTGTGTTTATTTTGCGTTGGAAAAATATCATGCTTAGATGGAGAAAAAGATGAATTGAGCTTGGTATTTTGATCAACCTGAATGGTATCGAATAGAAACAACATTTTCAATGTAGTGGTGCAGGGTAGAAAATAAAACAGATTTATAGCTATAATCTATACAGCCGACAACAGTAATCAATCATGACGCAAGTTGCCAAAAAATGGCCTCGTACGGCTGAGAGAGAGAACAGTTTGCTCTCCTTCGCATATCGTTGTCATATGGTCACGAGCTTAAAGCCACAGACAGGAAAGTCCTACTCATTGTATTCTCGTGGAAAAGGTGTTGTCTAAGAAGTTGAGCAGAAAAGCGGATGCTCGACGCTTAAACCGGGTTGGTGAGTGTGAATCCACATAGAGGAGTTGGAGAAACTTGATTTCAAACCATTGAAGCGAATGGGCTCAAAGACCCTTGGGGAGTAAATAGAGTATGGACCTAATCTTGGTCCTAAGCTACAATGGAATCGCGTCTCCTAACATTTCTCTACTACCTGGTGGATTAGACCTACAGAACAAAGGCTAGAGGAATAGCCTCCCATGAGAATCACCTGCTCCAGTTTGCGCACCCGGGTAGTATACCATTTCGTCCACAAATCCGATGATTTGTGAGGCGCATATACATTTTAGTGCCCCTTTGTACCGATAAATATAATAAGGTGAAGCGAATCCTGTAATCGTGAAACAATAATTATGAGGGTGATCACAAATTTGAAAAAAATTATTGAACCTACCATACACTAATTAGGAGGTATATACTTTTAACAAAACCAGATATATCATTCAAACAGTTAATATATGTTCAAAATTTAAGTTTATTTAGATCAGTAATACTGAGAATAAAAATTGCAATCAGTTAGTAAGCCAAACATGATCAACGTAGAGCGTAGTACAAAAGTGTGTTGAACTAAGTTGCCATGTCACATCAGTATGTATAAACCCAAAGAAATAAGTATTAGCTGGGTGAAGAAAATTATACATGAATTAATCCACTTATACAACAGCTGATCTATTACAATAACCTTAGTATGTAAATGAATCAAGACTGAGCATTAATTAATGGACAGACCCTCACATATATTCAGAAAAAGCAGATGTGGCAAGCAAAATCATTCAGGCTAGATAGGGTTACCTAAATTTAACACGATTGTTATTAATTCAAGGATGCTAAAAAATAACCTAACAATGTTATTTTTGTTTAGTAATTTGAGTCCTTGCTTCTGTGCGGCTGGAATCCCACTATGGAATGAAAGTCTACGTCATTCACAATAACTTTGCCTTTTCTTCATTAGCTCCTTTAAATGGCATTATTTTGAGTTGCTTCTCCTAACTCACGTTCGATACTTAGGCATTGCAACCAGACACACGAGGCAGTGATCCCCCGCTTGTATTTGTAAGTTACAGTCTATCGATGTTTTTGAAATCTTTCTAGAAGAACAAAGCATGTCAGGTGTAAAGAAAAATGTTCAGATATAATACGGATAAAAATTAATTTAAATAAACAAATGGTAAAAGCCAGAAAACGACTGGCGCACTGACTTCCGTTAGCAAATCATCATCATCAATAAAAGCAGCCTTCATGATGTTGCCAGACTTAACATGCAATGGAGCTCCGGATACTGATGATGGGACAGCCAGATTTCCACGGTGGAGTGGAGTGCTACTAGGAGCAGAAATTGAGAATTTCTCATCTCGAATTTGACGACAAGAGAATGTGTGAAGCTTCTTGGATGGTACTGAACTGGGGGGTAGATTACTGCGGCGTTGAAGTCGGATAAACACATCCTCCTCCTCCAAAACTGACTCCATTATCATATAAGTGGCCATAATATAATCATACGGACGCTGTTAAAAATTAAAAATAAACGCATTCTAGTAATATAAGTGAAACTGACATCATTTTTTACCACAGAACTATTGGGTAAATAAACGGAATGTGTAGATCATCAAACGTCTATATATGAATAACATTTCAGTTTGGAAACTTCTGGTACTGTCTACTTACGATTCAACACAAGGTCGAAACTATAACTTTCAGTTCTCGCACTGGGAGCCGCACTATTCAGAATATGAACTACAATTGAATTATTTTCATTTTAAAGCTTCAGTTTGTTCAAAATACAATGCGAACATTATCTACTTCCACCAGTGACACCTGTTATGAATCTAACTTGGGTTATCTCTACATATTATAACTCCCTCACTTGAATGTCCAAGAATCAACTTTGAAAACATAGCTTATGAGCATACAATTAGATGGTTTGTAGGCACAATTTCAGCTATCGTATGTAATGTGAATCAAGAACAGGTTACACAGATGAAAGCGTTAAGTTCAATTTTAAGTCTCGGAAAACTATTGGTTTCACTTGTTTGAAAATTGCTTCTTCTTTCTTAGTAATTTCGAAGTATGCAATGATCAGACTGCAAACTACTTTAAGCGGTATTAGGAAAAACAGTGACACATTGTTAGATTACAATGGTTTAATCAACTCATTTCTAGGTAAACAGATCCAGTTTGCATTCTATGGTATGGATTACGAGGCGAGGGTTAATGATTCCTCTTATAGTATATGCCTATGAATTTCGAGTTTGAATAATCTAAAGTATTGCGAACTTGCAGCTAATCATAATACATAAATTCAAACGTTTGTTAAGAGATACACACCTAAGCAATAAGACTGTTACAACATGTTTCAATACATCCAAGTAAATTCGACATATCTACTCCATTCCTTGTTTAATTATAGTCAGTCAGCTATCGACAAAGTAGATCGTAGCATGTATGTAAATCGGCTCCAGCTGTCGTATTTTACATCTTCACAGATAGAAAGTAGGGTAACAAGATAAAAATAGGAAGGGGATGATATTATTGGTATTGGAAAATCAAATAAAAGAAACATTATCTAAAAGAAACGAATAAGATCGAGAATAGAAAATATGAAATGACACAAAACCTGTGGTTGGAAAGAAAGGTAATTAGTGAATCCAAATGAGTCATAGCGAATTGTTTTTATCGTATATGCACAAAAATATCGTTGAATAATTATGCTTTGTAAGTATCTTTTGAGATACAAACAATTTGGTGCTCTTATTCTTATTAGGATGTAAATATAATATCAGAATTCATTAAGAATGTTTCAAAGAAAGTGAAATGAACGAAGGTAAATGTTTCTGAGTGGTTACATCTTTAGTCAGCTAGGCAATACAAAAGCAGGATTGAGATGAAGTAAAAAGAATATGGAATCACTTTGAAGTTATTTCGTGAAAAAAGTGCATAATGGTATTTAAAAAATTTAATTTAAGAAACAGGGATGTTTTAGGGGGATTATCGACATGAAAAGTGAATAATTATGAAGGGTAAACATGTGTTAGAAATAGTGCTTAGTGGTTAAGGTATTCGAATTCTAACCAATAAATACCAGGTGAGTCTCATTCAAATGAATTCAGCCAGGAGAACGGGGAAGTATTATTAGTCCTCATATTCAAGTAACCAATGAATAAACTAGTTTATAAATATCAAACTAGTTTTTTTTTATTTAATCGGCATATATTACAGCATTGAAGCGCAGCAACTCCTTTAGTTCTAGTCGACCGTTAATCTGAGACTACTTGTTTTTAAGCTGCTAAACTAACTAACCAAAGAAACAAAATCTCAGGGTACTTAGCGCATTGTGTTATCCTTAAAGGATGATACCAGATCATAGGATTATATCCATGAATAAACAGGCCAGTAAAGGGAGTCATCCAGAGAATATTAAACTAATATTTTCCAAATAAAAACACTAATTTGAGTGGACTACGACTAAACATATGAAGATTTTTCTCGCTGTGATGATAACAACACATTAGCGGCTGACCATAATAAATTAAATAAACAAAACAATAAACTGCCTGATTAGAACAAAACAAGTGATGACTTTGGAGTCAATAACGTAGCAAGCATACTCTGTATGCTTCTTCGCCCCGAATGATCTGTTACGACCAAGAGGAGAGTCTGCTCCCTTCGCATATTACTCTCATATGGTCACGAGCTTATAGCCACAGACAGGAAAGTCCTACTCATTGTATTCTCGTGGAAAAGGTGTTGTCTAAGAAGTTGAGCAGAAAAGCGGATGCTCGACGCTTAAACCGGGTTGGTGAGTGTGAATCCACATAGAGGAGTTGGAGAAACTTGATTTCAAACCATTGAAGCGAATGGGCTCAAAGACCCTTGGGGAGTAAATAGAGTATGGACCTAATCTTGGTCCTAAGCTACAATGGAATCGCGTCTCCTAACATTTCTCTACTACCTGGTGGATTAGACCTACAGAACAAAGGCTAGAGGAATAGCCTCCCATGAGAATCACCTGCTCCAGTTTGCGCACCCGGGTAGTATACCATTTCGTCCACAAATCCGATGATTTTTGAGGCGCATATACATTTTAGTGCCCCTTTGTAGCAATAATTATGCCTAAATAATAATAAGTTTACTTTAAATCATCTTAATAACAATCAAATGGTATTGAAAAGAAACTTCAGTATCAAACCATATTTCTCTGCAATCTAATTACAAAAATGAAACCATGGTTTGCAGTTACATGTGTAGAATTACGAGTTAAAACCTCCATAAACAGAAGTCAATTTCAGTTAAATGTATAACTCCGACAACAATAATAGGAGGATTCAATGGTTTAATATGTTTTACAACATTTAAATCCAAGAGACTGCCATATGAAACATGGGACTTGACACGTGTGTCGGTTCAAGTCCTTTTACCAAATTAGTACAGTGAGACAGAATCAAGACCAATCCTAGAGTGACGGAGGCATTAACAGAATCAGTAGTAAAGAGTTTAGGTGTAGAAAATTAAGGTATAAGGCTATTTCGCAGTTCAGGAACTAAAGTAGGCAAAATAGAAATCTAATAGAGATGAATAATCAAAACAATACTTACACTAGAGTCAATAAGTTTTATTACTCATCCTTTAAAAACAGTATCAATTAATGGTGAGGAATTTACAGAAAATTTTGAATCGACAAATCTAAAAAACGAACGATAGCATCTGCACTTATTAGTTATTTAAATGATGAAGTAACAAAAACTATAAACATGAAATATATTCCAAATATTTTTGCATCACTAATAAACTGACGACTTACTTACAAAGAAGTGAACTTAGTAGTCAAAAATACAACGAAGATTACATATAAAAATCATTTTAATGTTATTGACTTTCAACACTGATAAGTATCTCCAAATCCCATCTAGTCAAGTAGGCTTTATTTTCCGAAATGGGACTATGAATTTAAAAACTGTCACAATTAAATCCTACGAAGATATGTGGAAGCAAACAAAGACTGATATATCCAAAAATTACCTTTTGTAACATTCGAACAAGCTCCACTTTAGGAATCCGAGTGTATGCAGTGATTTCAGCAACAATTTGCATGTTGAGAGGTGACAACTACAAAAGTAAAATTAAGTTGATAACTACTGAGTATTAACCAAGACCATCGTAATAAATGGAAACATGAGTATGGAAATTATATACGGAATCGATAACAGAGTAGTGCATGGATTTTCTTGACTCTTCATTTAATAGTTTATTTGTACTTACTTAGCATGATTCAAACCATGCAAATGAATGGTGATTACACCGGTTTCTTTAAAGTTGATGTTTGACATCAAGGAGAAACCAAATTAGATGTTATTAAACGAAAAACGCGGCTAACGTCGTGCGATTCACAGTAATAGCTGGAAACAAACATTATTCATCAGCAATATCCGCATGAACTCAAAAATCTCGCTTGGTCTTTGACAACTTGCATTAGTTGTGACAAAGGCGAGATGTCTGTCTGTCAACCGAAGGAAATTATTTCCACTCTGTATTACCTTATGCTCTACAAAGGAAGAAGACATGGGTAAGCTCCAGGATTCTAATCAGTGTCTTCGAAGCGTTGCTTTCAGATAGTGTGATGACAGTGAGAAACACTGAAGTTAGACTTAAGGAACCCAGCGAAAACAGCAAAACCGGTTGATGAGGTCAGGCATCTTCATCTATTGAGGTGACAGATGTGTTGTATCACAATCCAGCGCCCACATCAATATGCAATGTGGGTTTGAGTAGAACTGAGTCAAAAGGTAAGGGTAAACAAACCAAAATGTGATATCAGACCATGAAGTGACTGATTGCTGGTTTCAAAACTTGAGTGGATCCATGCGATAACTAAGGCTAGTGATTGGAGGTTTTGGATGACATGAATCGAGATCAGTTACAGTGATGCAAATACATTTACTCCTTATCTTTCAAAGGGTATGAGTGTTACTAAGCACATATATAAACACATACATATTTTTGAACCCTATTCTCGATATTTAGTTCTCCTCAATGTTATGGCTACTATAATGATTTCCACTCTTTTACTTTTCCTCTTGTGAATTTAATCTCGTTGCGTTGGTGTGAAATGCCAACTTGGGTTAAGGTTTATGCATCAGACTCTAGGTTATAGCTGATAACTCAATAACATCCATTTGAATTATTCAGATGAAGTTATTTCGAATTGGATTATCCATACGTATTGAAATCTTAGTACATCGCTGTTGGTCGTATAGTAAAATCTATTAAAAACTGATTAGCTTTTGTTTTCTATTACTTACTAACGCCTGTTACCCTTGATTGAGCATAAGCTGCTGACCAGCATTCTTCAACCTACTCTGTCCTGAGCCTTCCTTTTCAGTTCCATCCATTTACTGTTCATTCTTTTTATGCCTGCTTCCAATTCTCAGCATAATGTGTTTTTTGGTCTTCCTTTTCTCCTTTGGCCTTGGAAACTCCAAGTGAGGGCTTGCCTCGTGATGCAGTTAGGTGCTTTCCTCAAGGCGTCTGACCCAACTCCAGTGCCTCTTCCTAATTTTTTCTTCTGTTGGAATTTGGTTTAGTCTATCCCACGGTAGGCTGTGGTGATGGCGTCTGGTCAACGGATCCTCAGTATCTTGTTTAGACGACTGTGAATAAAGACCTGTATCTCCCAGATGATGGCTTTCGTAGTTCGCCAAGTTTCTCCTCCGTACGGTAGAACTGTCAAGACATTTGGTATTTGTCGATAGTTGTTTTGAGTTCCCAATGTTCTTCAACTGTAGAAATGTTAACCTTACTCTGTCAATCCGCACCCTCACATCTGCACCAGATCCACCTTGACCACCAATGATGCTGCCCAGATAAGTAAAGGGCTCTATATCTTCTAAAGCTTTTCCGTCAAGTGTGATTTGGTTGGTGAGTGTTGTGTTGCATGGGAGGATCTTGCCTTTTCCCTTGTGTATGTTGAGACCTACAGTTGCCAAGGCTGCTGCTACTGTTTTGTATTGCACCTCGATAAATAGGTATTTGTCGAATGGACTTATTTACTAAGTACAAGTTTGGTGACTCGGTTTCGAACCATATTCTGGTTTCAAGATTAGCACTTCCACCCGAGTACTTAAAGAAGATTAGGTGGAGCAGGACTTCAACCTACAACCGAATGGCTGAAGTAAGTGGCTTCGTAGTTGGAGCACTCAGCTTTTAACTATTAGGTTACAGGTTCAAAGGTAACTAAACTAACTTCAGTTTAGATGGTCAATCCTTCCCCTTCCCATAGTGTCACTGAAAACCAAGTACATTACGCGCATTGTTGGTAATTTATTGGGAGTCCGATAAGCAATACGGTTTTCCAAATTATAAACTCTGTCTGGATGAACAGATGCTTATGAATAATATGATAACTTTGGTTTTGCTTTTGATTATTGCTGCTTGGCTCCAAAGAACTGTCTAATTAATTAGAGTTGAGTTTACTTGATAAAGAATTGAGTTTGTTTCCTCCATTAACAAACAAATTTTCTTGTATCACTGCATCAAAAACCATTATAAAGTAAGATTACGAATCTCACTTATAATCTGAATACATAATCACTCTTTATCAAATCACACAATAGCAACGAAACAGAAATTACTCAGTGTGAACTAGGAGAGAATAAATATGTCTGTTAGAACATCTCATTAGTAAAAAAAACGCGTCAGCAAGTGTTTGATTGGAAGTTAACACAACATTCCGTGTATTCGTTCGTAATATATCTTGGGAAAATACTAGTACTTGAATACAAGCATGTCTAAAGTGGGATGTATTTAAGCAAACTTGATTCACACTAACATTTACAAAATTTCTTAATATAAGCTGTGAACCATGAGTAACTTTTCCGAACCGTGCACACCGATTCGCTTTAAAGAAAAAGTTGTGGTGTTAACGACTATATCAACAAAGAACTGGGTGCGTGTTCACAAAAACTTGACAAAAACCAATATAAACTACTAAAAACAGAAAGCTAGTGAAATGAATTCATTAGAAACAACCTATTTGACTTACTGGTATCTTTTCTTCATCCAGATCCACCGGATGACCCATAAAACCTTCAACAACCCATGCATGACGTCTGAGTTCATCCATTTTTATGCGCTTTTTGGGATCGACACATATCATTTGATTGAGGAGTTGTTTACTAGTTTTGCTCAAGCCATCAGGAACTGCAAATAAACCTTTCTGTCTTTTAATGATAGTAGGAATATGTTGACTTACACCAATTATTTGTGGGAGTTCTTCCGGTTTTGTGGGGTCAAATGGTAGACGACCACAAAGTAATGCGTACAGAATAACACCCAGGGACCAGATGTCTGCCTGAGAATAAACAAAATTTAGGTCTTCATAAAGACATTTATTAAAGTAACTGTAGGTTCTCAACATGTCATTTTGGGATTACCGATTTATAAGCGGTCTAAGGTCAAGGTCTGTTGAAAGACTGATAGGTTAACTACGAAGATGGTGGGAAGGGGGGAACGTCAGTATCCTGATCGTCCTAATAAATGATGAACATAAAACACAGCTTGGTCAGTCGGTAACAACGAATGTAGAGCTTTGCACTCATTTGCATTAACCTAAGTTGGCATTTTACACCAATATTACGAGGTTAGATTGGCAAAATGAATGGTAAAAAAAAGTAGGAATCATTGTAGTAGTAAAGACAGTGAAGACTAAACATCGAAGATTCGGGAATTTGTGGATAGATTCCTGTTGTATGGAATGGAATGGAACAATAGCAGTGATATGCCTTAAACACATCAAATAAAGCAGGTGTCTCTAACTACGTTCAGGCTAGAGTAACAGTCCTGATGAAGACCCGAACTTGCCGAGCTTTACTCCAACACTAAGAATCCTAATTACCTCAGAGCATGAGGTATTTTTCAAGGAAACCGTCTATTTACAGTTTAACCTAAACTTAAGCATTGATAATGTTTATAAATAGTGTATGACAACGACTAGCGACAAACGAAACAACTTTAGGACACAACTTTAACAGTTAACTAGACCCGAAATATTTGTAGTGTAATCTTAACATGTAACGATTTAAATAGGGATAAAACCAACTCACTACTCACAGCACTTCCTGAGTACTCCTTGTTGGCTAAAACTTCTGGAGCAACGTAAGCAAACGACCCACAGAATGTGCTTAGCATCGAGAGATTATGTCCCTACAAACTGAAGAAGACATAGTTACTTACCTTTGCACATAAACCGAAGTCAATTATTCTGACGTTCTGATCATTATCCAACAAAATATTTTCCTTAAAAACTCAATAAAACTGTAAAATTTACTGGTTTTAGGTCACGATGAGCAAAACCTCTGCTATGAATATATCCTATGGCTGAAACAATCTGTCTAAATATGACACGGGCTTCAACCTCCGACAAGTGCTCCTTTTGAAGTATGTAATCAAATAACTCTCCACCAGGAAGATACTACCAAAAAGTATGTAAATTAGGGGAAAATACCTCCAAAATAAGGTAGTAATGTGTCTGAGTCTCCACAACCTGATACAACTTGTATATGTATTTGTGGTTTAGCTGTTTGAGGGCCTCTATCTCACCCTTGACTCGGTATGCGTCAGACTAGAAGTTTGAATAGATTTATTAAAAATGTTACCCCAAGCTTCCGTTTATCTAATATTTTAATTGCTACCTTCTGCCGTGTAACTGCATGAAGTGCAACATACAGTACGCCAAACGATCCTTCGGCAAGAGGTTCACAAAATAGGTATAGCCCCTGAAGAGCTTTAGGAGCTACAAGCGCCATTGACAGAAGAAACTGGCGCGCGGTAACGACCTACGTGCAGCCAGTCGAAAGTTAAGCTTACCGCTTCACACGAAGCTCTTTACCGTCGATTAAATTGAACTAAGTAGCCAGCAACTCAAAATTGATGTGACTTTTTTGACTAACAACAAATTTTATGAAGTGCATTAGTTGTTACAAATTCAGTTATGCATAACTAAATAATTCTTTTTCAAATCGTCCTTGTAATATATATTCGTTAGCTTCATGCTTGGATCACCAGTGATATAAGTCCGACGATCTGTCAAATCTAACAGGTTTCGGAACACTGTAAACTGTACTGAGTAATACTTAGATGAAATGCTGTAGTGTCATGCTAAACTTTATATATTTTCTAAACACAGAATATCCTAGTAGGATACAACAGGCTGCATCAAATGGACCTCTTCTGTTTTAAACTTCTTCTGAAAAGTTGTTGGAGAGTAGTTACTCTTCGCTGGATAAAGCATTCAGTGATGATGTTGTAGTGGTATCCTTTTACTAAGAAAACACAATTGCTGAAATATAAACATTTATAATTTTACTTAATTCTGACAATAATTGTTATGTTGTACATCTCTTGTTTATCTGTACTAAAGACTATCGCGTGCCAGGCGTGTTATTCCCATTCCGCTCCTGTATTCTGGTCTTGATATTTTTTCGATATCTCAAGGCCAGCGATAAATATACTTCTTCTTCCAGAACAGTCTTTTCTTCTACTTCTGGATTTATCAGGATTTAACTAAGTAATCCCGCGAAGAAATATATTTATACCTACTTACTATAATGACATGTTTTTTGTGTACGGTCTACAAAGTATCCAAAGTATTTGGTTTCCACACATTGCAAAAGCAACCTACTGCGTCACAAGGCAAGCCGTCACTTGGAGTTCCCATGGCCAACGGAGAAAAGAAAGACCAATGAACACAGTACGCCAAAAACTGTAAGCAGTTGGCCACGATTATCAGTACAGATCATCTAGGCTGTCGATCTACGGGTTACAGAAAATATCGTAATAGATGTCTTAATTATTTTGTTCATTACCGAAACAACACTGAAGAGGTTCGCTGGTCTATAATGAAAATGCATTTCGGGGTTGTGAATATTGTTAAGTTTTTTTGAAACCATGAATCGATCAATGTTAGACCACCATTAGAAACCTGGTAGCACTGGAAGGCCTTTTCGTCCTGGTATGGGACTCCTCAGCAGTGCGCACCCACCAGTGAAGTAGAATCTCGTGAGTTAAGTTTCTCCCAAATTACTAAGATATGGCCCCAGTCCTCTCATGGTAATCTCTCCTCTGATGTCCACCTCCTATATGGTATTCGAATCGCCTGGTGTTTTACAAGCCGCAAATAATGTACGTTACTACAGTCATTTCGAATGTTCGATTCCATTTGGTGAAAATTAATATTTGTATATCACTGTACTCCAAAGTTACAACAGGAAGAACAACTTATAGCATGTGGTGCTACTGAAATCAATCAAGATGGTCGTATGGCAGCGAATAAAAGGACCATGGTGCAACCAAATTGAATGGTGCCTATATTGCGATTCCACTGTCGAACTTGTTGTCTCAACATGGAATAGTGAACTTTATAGTCACAAAAACTATACAAATCACAGGAAACTGTGCTTTCAAATGTTGCGTACTACCTAAATAAACATGATTCAAGCTGCAACCGGACCAAGGATGTCAGGAATACAAAGGATTTTCGTAAAACTATGGCATATTTTGAAGCCATATGACTTACAACTAGTAATCCAAATATATCCAGAACTTCGACAAAACACATGCTAGAACTTAAATATGGAGCTCTCAGTACAAAACTGGAAATGTATTATTGCATCGGATCTAAATATAATATAAAATATTTGATTGCGCAGCGAATATATTTATTTTCCACATGGATTTCTGAGTGTCTACAACGTAGTACTGGTTTTTACACATTTCTCTTGGATCTTAGTTATTCAGGTTTTTTATTTTTATTTTCTTCATTATTAACTAAGGAGTCAATAGAATTGGAACTTGGATCATCTATCTGGACTTTCGAATGACCTAAACAACTAGGATTGGTTACAGAACTGTGAAAATGGAGTAAGAATCAGTTTCTTCATCAATCTTCACATAGTCTACATGCCTGCAGTGAGCCGAACGGTCAAAAATCTTTACCAAACGATTGCCTTTCCTCCAAATTATAAGTCCCGGAGATATCTGAAAGCATTTCATCGGTAAAACTGCGCTTCCGATGATGTTTTATTTACCAAACGAGTTCGAGGTGTGAGAGGTTTGAGGAGTTTGACTGGACTCTCATGAGTTTTTGGATGTTCTGCATTACAGTAGTGAAGTAAGAAATTACTGTTATTTTACTATCCCTTCTAGATTACTTCAATTTACTTATATTGTAGCACTCTTTAAGGTTTGAAAGAAATTTGTTGCTCAACCATTAGACTGAGGTCGTGGATCCGTGAATACATGACGCCATCCAATATCCGTAAACCAGTTGTAAAATTCTTTTTCTATGAAATGAGTTCTTTTCTCCGTCACTGATGTATTAGGTATCCCTTCATGACTAAATACCTTCATCTCTCTTTTAGTAACTTTCATGATACCATTATTCAACTTACGTGAAATGCTACACGGATATTTTGTTCATCCTACAAGGCTAAAGTTGTCTGGTTTGCTTGCAGCCGTGAGCTAGTAGAGAAAATTTATTCTGACAAACTGTACAAAAAACAAAGCTTAGATTAAAATATTAATAAAAACCTACTACTAAACGTAGGGTAGCTTAACATCATGAAGGAAATGAGAGTGGTGTATCTGACCAGCATTCATGACGGTAGAGCGATAACCTCACTCTACCCATGTCTGTGGGACAGAACACTTTGTTTGCTTACAGCTCCTTATGTTACAGCAGAATATAACTGATCAGCAATATTGATGTTACTTTTCCAGTTCACTACGACTGATGTTAGCATCCGTGAACTGGTTTCGCTTTCTACCAAGAAATCCTATCACAAGAAGATATAGGCAATTATGCTGTAAAATACTCACTGGCTACTTCTCGAGCTACAGCGTTAAAAAATGACATTAGACGAAATGTCACCAAAGCATTGGATTACTGGACCTTCATTATTTTATTCTGTAAATCAACACAATTTCTAACAAATTAGTTCTTTCTACCTCCTCTACTAATAAGAGTATTTTCCGATCTGTTATCTTACTAGTGACTTGTCTTCATTAACCTACGTAAGTGCAGGCCTAAAGTCAGTGTTCCAATACAGAAAAAGAAATGTCTGAGTAATCATACCTTTGTTTTATCCGAAAAGTATCTGCTGAACTTATGTTTAATCATGAATATTTTCACTTCTGCTACTCGCTTCTTCCTCTTTACTTATTTTTTTCAGCTCCATACTCTACTCCTGAAATATTGATCTCCATAACTACATAAAACTTAGTTGATTACCCCATGAACCTATCAAACTATTTTCTGGCGGATCTGAACTAGAAGATCATTACACATTTACCTCATCATTTCTGATCATATACAGAACTCGATTTAACTTGCATTGATTCTCATCCAGCAATGCTCGTCGCAATGCAACCGACGTAACTCGTACTAGCTGCCGTATTGTAAATTCCGGAGTCTGAAACATTATCTAGAATTTTATGAGAAAAATATCAGCGCTCTATAAATGGTCAATGTATCTTGTGAATCACTCATCTAATTGAACAACCTTTTACAGAAAATATGTTAGCACTTTTAATATTTTGATCTTCCCTGTAAATAACATGCGTCTGTTTTAGTACCTATTAAACATACCACTCCGCGGGATAACAAATGTTAATCCCATTACTCCAGTAATCAGATAAAAGAAGATTCTAGAGGAACAAGTTTATTTGATGCTAGCCTCGTGAAATAATCACGAGACTAGGGTACATGAGCCGAGAAGCCAAAGGCACGCTTGGCGCGCGCCAGATAGTCTTTAGTACAGACAAACAAGAGGTGTACAATATAGCAATTACTGTCAGAATCAAGTACAATAATAAATGTTTATGTTTCAGCAATTGTGTTTTCTTCGTAAAAGTATACCACTACACGTCTTGTAACATGTTGCCATTTGAGGATAATCTATTATTTTAAGGTCGTTTATGAGTACTCCTTCTAGTCGTTAGGAAGATCAGTCGGTTACAACCAGTACATAATATGAGTTTAGAAATATTCCTTAGCAACCCACATGAATACGTTGCCATGATATATAAAATGCATACCAAGAATTCTAAGTAGATTTATTGTATGGCTGATTAGGTAAGCAATAAGAACGGATTCTTGCTTTTTCACTGATGTCAGCAACAATTTCGGGCCACTACCAAGTCTGATGAACTAGTGATTTCATTTCCTCTGCTCCTTGATGGGAGGAGTGAAGATCATTCAATATTCCGAATCTTGGATTAGAGCATGAAAAGCCCCCAGAATATAATAATATATCTTCTCTCGTTTTGTAAAACTCACGAAACCTACGCTTGCACGGGACATTCCAACCTTTTTCGGTACACTTTTAACAGTTCCAAAATACTTACGATTATCTTCCACAAGTTCTGCCATATCAGCAGGCAATGACTGGACAACATAAAACCGCTTTCTTTGGGTGGTTCATTAAATACGAGTGCCGTGATGATAGGTTTGCATGTGACAAGCTTTTAGGCTCTCGGTATTCAACGGTAAAATCATAGGCACTCAATTCGAATTTCCATCTTCGGACCACGGCAGGCGATGGTCGATGAAGTGACTTAGTTGGGTTGTAAACAACTTTAATGCTTGATGATCAGTTACAATATGGACTTTTGCACCAAATAAGTATTAATGCAGTCTCTTCACTGCCTGTACCACAATTAAACCTTCTTTTTAGTTTGATAATTTCCTCGTTCGTTACTACTTAATCGTCTCGAAATGGAAGTAAAAGGCTTTCCATTCTGCTCTACAACTGTACCTAGCCGAACAGAGATGCCTCCATAGTGAGGATAAGTTTTTCAGTTAGTGAAAATGGTCAGAACGTTGCTCCATTATCTAAGAACTGTAAAACGCTTCACACCATGTCTTCGTGGCACTGCTCCCATATAAACTCTGTACTCGAAACCAATTTATAAAGTGGTGACAATATTCGTGTAAAGTTAGAAATAAACATAGAATAAAGTTGAGGAGCACCAACCCATGACCTGAGTACCGAGATATTCGTAGGTGATGCTGCTTAAATCAGTGGAGCTGGGCGATATTGTGATCACTGATTATGGATTTCCAAAAATGAAATAACTCCTAGTTGGATGTTAACAGATAATAAGGATTGACATGAAATGGTTTTATAAAACCTGGCTTCAAGTGAAATTCTAAAGGACACAGTCTAAAAGTCTCTAACATTCCTATTATACCTTAGTGACCACTGATCCCTTTCCTTTACTGGTCCCATTATGCTTCAGTTCTATCCATCTATGGGTAGTATTAGAAAACGAAGGGATAAACAGGTTTCCAAGGGATGGTTATCTGGTAAACCTGTTCCAGTATAGCATCACAGAAAGAATTTAGAGTTCTGAGTAGTAGGAAGTTGCTTATTATCCAAACACAGTGACTTAGTTTTCATCAGTCAAACCTTATGATCTATTTCTAATTGTCAAGCGGTTGTGTGCAAAAGTCTCGAAACCATTTGAGCGATACTTAGAGAGCTTATCTAACTACGTATCAATATAGTTATGTGCTGCGTTCCCCTGAAATTCCAGTACAAAATACAATAATGTACTCCTCATTGATGAGTACCAGCAAGCCTCCGTAAGAGTTCCAGAGGACTGTAATAAACCTCTTTCAGGAATCTCCAGGCTCTCTCATGATAAAATATCATCAAAAGTCAATCCACCCTACCTTGGAATTCTGATTCCAAACATGATAGCATCTCCTTCTATAGATATGCTTAGAAGAGAGTTCGGTCAAGTAAAAAACCACCACTTATACGACTTATACAGACCTTTCAGTCTTTATTACTTTTAATGTCTTCTTCAAATAGCAACTTGCCCCACGTTATTACAAACCAGTGGGTCTTGAAAAATGACTTTATTTTCAAATTTCCTAAACATAATACTAGAGAAACATATTTTACTGCAATTTTAATCTCTTTTTCATTTTTCTTATTTCTGCATGGCCTGTAACGGGTAGCAGTCTTATTGTAGTCTGTAGTTTGCATTTTCCATGCAAACTGCAGATCAATCGATGAAGTGGTGAAACTTCATCAGTTGAGGTGGTTGGGACACGTGTTGCGTATGCCTAACCACCGACTGCCTCGTCGAGCTTTGTTTTGTAGTGTAGGAATAGGTTGGAAGAAAGTTAGGGGCGGCCAGACCAAAACATGGCATAAATCCATGAAGTCATTGACGAGTGGACTGAGCCATGTCGGTAATTGTCGACTACCTGGTTGGGGTCCGCGAGATGATAATAATCGATGGTTAGAGACCTTGAATGACATGGCTCAAAATCGTTCGCAATGGCGCCGGTGCATTTATTCTTTGTGTTCTCTCAAATCCTAATCTTCTGTGTTCTTCAACACCTCTAGTTTTTACTTTCTAAACTTATCTCATTGAATCATACTTCGTGAATAATATCTTCTAATTCTAACCTCTCCGATTACTTCTAATACCTTTACTACCTCTTCTATTGGATTTGAACTGACAATTATATCTCTGTGCTGATGTGGTATGGCGACATGAACTGATGTACTTACGTACGAAGTTCTACGTTGCAACTGACTTCGTTTGCATTTTCCAGTGGACCTATCAATTTCCTAATTGTTATCGCAAAATAAATTCAAATGCTTGATCCTTAGAAATCTCTCTATTCTACAGAATTCCATTCTTTCATGTCATTTCTTTATCTTAAAGATTACAACACGGTCAGAAGAATTAGCTTATTTGCTATCTAAAATGTTGTAATAGTATAGTGTTCATCAATAAATTAAAATATTCGTTCGTCAATTCGAAAGCTGATTATACAAATTGGGAAGCTGTTAATATTGACGTGTAAAATATGTCTTTATGTGGACGTACTAAGTTTAAAGATCTCGGTAACTTTTTATGCCGAAAAATTGTGGTGGTCTGTGGCCTCTAATAATGTCAAATAATAATTAATCTGGAGTTAACTGCAACTCACCTATCTAAAAAATATTGTTCTTTGAAAAAGAATTTGTTTAGTTGGTTTTTGCAATACTTGGTGACATGGTTGCCAGTCTGACATGACTTCTTACTTATTATTACGTAGGACGTTTTCAGATGAAATTCAATGTTCTTATTCAATATGGCCAACAAACATGTGATTCACTTAAAGAATCTATAATCATAATACAATACATCAAGTTTTCCACTTGATCAAAGTTCTGACAATGTGTAATATTTAAAGCTAATAATTATTTCACTGGGCACAAATTATTCTCGTTGAGTATTAAACTGTATATGAACTTGATGTGCTCATTCTGGTTGTATTATCACATCGAGAAACGATTCTAACACGCAAATATTGTTCCGTAAACGAATATAAAGCATATCCATTCTCTTAAAAAACATCTCATCCACTCTCATCATTATTAGATTTACTTTTTTTCACACGGAAATTACATGAACGGTAAATGATATCAAAAAGCTCTATAAATTTTGGTCCTCCAGTAATACTGTTTCCACGTATAAGCAGAACATAGGTGACTAATAGGCGGCTTGAAATTCATAATTTTAGTAGCATATTCTTTGGAAGATAATCAGCATACAGTGAAATAAAAATATCTTACTGGAACTTAAATTTGCCTGGATTTCAAATGATTTAAAAGTATTTGCAGACAATGAAGTTTGTTTCATACACATGGTTACCTTTGTTAACTTGAAAAGAACAAATTCATTTTACTTCGTTTTCAACATTTTATAACCTGTAAAATTTTATTGTTAAAGTTATTGAATGTCATTCATATTACGAACCAACATAAGTTAGACATCCAATAAAAATCAAAAGCACTAAACGGCTGTTTTTCCCTAATATGGTTTTCGTCAATAGTATACATCCACAACAACATCGCGACAAACGCCTAATCTATAAACCATATATCTAACTGTATCAATCCGTTAACACAGCTAGGTCGTGGGGACTCACTACTCATGACTTCCATTCTGAGACGAAACGGTTCTTCAACGGGTATCTAACTTAGGTTGATCCGTAATATAAATAACATCTAGTGACCTTTGCAAACCATCTGTAAAGATAAGAATTATTATTAACCTGTATTCATTTAATTAATTTAGATATCATAGTGTTTTTGTAAGTATTCTCACTGGTGTTCCAGAATGTTCATTTTTACATGATGTTTGACTGTAATACGTTATTTAGTTAATTTAATTTAATTTGAATTTAAAAGTCTTTTCTACGCTATACTGACAAATTTAATCTGATTTCTCATCAACGTCAATGTTATGAACATGTTGAACTTCATTGTTTTTTGATATTTTCATAGTGAAATATTACAGGTAGTAAATAGGCACAAGAGAACCTCAAGAAATAAAATGGATTAATACTAGTTGCTTGAAATTGTTGTTATTGCTCTTTCCAAAATAAACTAGGTAATAATCGTTTAATATGTTTATTGTTACTTATCTTCATAAACGATACTACGTTAACTTACTATCAAAGTTTTTTATTACCTATTCACCCGTAGAAGGCCAAATTTATTTTAAAAATAAAATATAAATGTTTAACGACCGTTCGCGTATCATTGACTATTGATCTGTCTCATTATTAACACACTGAATATATGTTCTGAAGTAATTTACAATTTTTAATTACATATAATCCAACTGCTCGGATGTCTTGGTCTATTGCTTCAATATGAATAATCTTTGGTTGACGATTCTCTGGTCGTGTTCAGTTCGTGTAACTTATTTTCGTAATGATGTGAATAGTTCTTAGGAAAGTCTTGTAAACAATAAGAATTCAACTCGGCAAATGAATCGTTCTCCTGCTCATGTGAATAATTTGGTTGTTGATGAAAAATATGTAAATGTTTTGAATATATCAATGGATTATATGCAGTAAATTGTTCACCACAATGAATTTCTTTATTATTTTCACTAAAGTTTGTTGAATAACTATCTGTTGGCAAAAATTTATTATTAATTAGATATTTATTACATGAATCACTGCTTTCCTTCAATTGGCATTCAGTTAATGGATAATCATTACTTGTTGTAATTGTTTCTAGGTCATGCTGCATTGAAATACTTGTATCATTTAATTTATATGAGCACAGTTGTTTATCGTATTTGTCAGATATCTCAAGATTATTGCTACATTTACAAGTATCATACACAAAACTTTTAGAATGATGATTAAACCATATTGTTGGATTTTTCTCTGTTAAATGAGTTTCATCAAATGAATAATGACATCGAGTTGGAAATCCTGATCTGGTGAATTCATTTTGTGAATCCAAATCTTCATAACTTGTAGATGGAAATGAATTTTCTGCAGGTTTTTGTCGTTTAAATTTCATACGACGATTTTGAAACCATACCTAGAAAAGAGAATGCAATAAACTTTAATGATGTGTACTGTACTTCTGATTGTGATGGGATTTCGTTCTCCAGCTCGGGGAATGAAAGTCCAACGCAGTCATCCACCTGAGCTACAAATTTTCTCCACCATCTCAAAGTCATGTGAGCGTGACACTTCTGATTGATTTTAAAATTACTGATCATAATTATACATAGGATGAGCTAAAGTTAATGTGATAATTATGCTTTGGGTCACAATATTAAGCAGCTATTATCGAAATAGTTATGAGCTACGATAACTTTCAAGCTTTTCCTGTCGAGTTTTGCGCTCAAAATAGTGCTACATACTTTTGAAAGGAAATCAAAGGATTTGTAAGAGCAACATATTATTAGCATTAAAATTGCCGATCAGTGTTCTAAGAGTAAGAAAATCTTTGATATAATGAAGCTCAGCACCCAAAATTGCATTCCTTTGGTAAACAGATAAATTTCCTTTTATCAGTTAACAAACTTTTTTATATTTTACGTAACCACACTCTGATAGCAATCACCTGTAACTTGCATAAAGAAATTATAATGTAACATCTTTCAAGATCCGTTTGTTTACGAAATCTCGAAAAGTTACAAACTATTTTATTCTTAAAGGACATTGTTAGAATAACCCTACTATTATAACCGAGATGTGATCACTTTAGTGAACCCTTAGGTTCCTATAAGCAGCCGATTATCTTATAACCCTAGTAAAAGTATATTAGACAATTTATTTCTCTTTTTAGCGTGAGACGCTTTAGTCATATTTGTTTTTTTCATATGGTGAGAATTATTTCTCAACTATAGTAGTAACTACAAACATATGAATTAATATTATCTCATTTGAAATCACAAAATGATCTTAGCAAAGCCATTGGAGTTAAATCCGTGTTAGGTGTTGTTGGGGACGTTAGATCCCCAGAAATCACTTGGAAAAGGTCCTGATTTTGTAATTTATTGCTGAAATTTTGAAGTTCCATGTTTTCATGCTAGAGACGCTTGGTTGACCTTGGCCTTACATCTCCTACTCGGAAAATCCTTGGCTGTCATTGGTTGATCGATTATTTTAGTATGCTACTTTGTGGCTCTCCCACGGGCATTACTAACATCGTGTAAATAAGCTTAATTTGTGTGCTTAGCAATCTCGTATTTTCTGGATGCTTGTAGAATACATTCTCTACTCCTTATCAAGACTTCTTGCTTTTGTTAGTAGGGCCCGAGACAACGGATTAGAATAGCCTATCGTGTCATTAAGTCATTGCTTTCGTTCAGTTTAACGAGTAAGGTGAACTCGTAATAACATTCAAGTCTGTCACCAATGAATGAGGATTGCAAAATATCGTGAACTGACTAAAGTTTGCTGGTTGATTGGTCTAGAGGTTAAGTGTTGTTCTGCGAAACTTAAGATTGATTCCAGTATACCAGGTTGTAAATGCTCATCGCTGAAGAGTCCTGAACTAGGACGAAACAATCATCTAGTGTTTTCAAGTTCTCATTTGTGATTTAGCTAAGATTAGCCCCTGATTTGAACGGTGAAAATTCCATAGCCTCCATAAATTTCTTACATTTGTATCTTTTTTTTGAAAAACCCATGATAATTCTTTAAAGTTGTCCTGATGTTATAGCAGGAAAATGTAAAGTCAACTAAATCAAACCTAAAGTCTCATAAACGTGATATGATATTGCATTAATAATATACGATATCAGAAAGTAATCAAAGTCAAAAACCTGAATATTTCACATGTGGCAATGCATATGTATCTAATCCATTCTACTCAAAAGTATTTTTGGCGAGTTAATATCGATTAATACAATAAAATACTAAATAGAAATATAGAAATTTTAAGAACAACATACGCATTCACCTACTTTGATTTGTTTCTCACTTAATTGAAGTGTTGAAGCTATTTCAATTCTACGTGGTCGACATAAATATTGACTATACCAGAATTCTTTTTCTAATTCTATTAATTGTATTTGTGTATAAGCTGTTCGTGCTCTTTTAGATTTTTTAATCAAATTTTTACTATTATTACTACTGTTACTACTACATTCAGTGTGATTTAAAATATTATTATTATCATTATTATTATTCTCTTCACTATGATTATGGTTTATTTTGTAATTATCCGTAATATCAGTGTGAAGATTCATTTCATTACTGGACTCATCATATTTATGGACCATTTGATGAAATGTATAATTCGACTGAAGAGAATTGTGTAAATGATGTTGACAGTGATCATCATGTGAAATGAGACGATGATGCTGATGATGATGGTGATGATGATGATGAGGTTGATGATGATATTGGAATGATGTGAAATCATCAACAGAAAATGTTTGATAATCATGTGGTTGTAAGGTTTTGATATAATTTGTCCAATCAGCGGTAGATCTGATTCTGTCATAATTGTTCAACATTGATTTATTGCTTTGTAAATAATCCGGATCTTGATTAACATTTAACGCTGAAGATGAATGCAACACAGATTCTTTCATTTGAAAATAGTAAAATTGATTTGCATCCCCATTCTTTTCCATTTCGTATTCTACCTGATTTATTTCATCTTTGAATTCTGGCGACAATGAAGATGAGATATTTTTGTTTGATGTTGAACAAGTTGAATTTTTTAATGATAAACTAGAATCTATTCATAAAAAATAATTGAATATCATAATTGGCTATTTTTATTTAAAGGTTTTATGAATCTTTTCGTTAAACTCATGTCATCTCGGAAAAAACACCCTTTGAAATTAACAAAAATTTTCAAGAGACCTTAAATTCCAATATAAAAAATAGGCTTGTGATATGAATTGAACCAATATGAACCAATAAATTTTAATGAATATTATTTATTATAACAAATTGTTCTGAGGTTAACCAATATTGTTAACAATAATATGTCACTACGCCTTATATCGCGGAACTTAAGGTCCAGCATTAGATTCTCAATCAGAAATAGTCTTGTGAAACTTCAAAAGAAAAGAATATAACTGTCAATCATTCATCAGTATTCATTAATTTCGGTAACTTATATTCGTACTCAAAATAAAACCACACTAAATCTGGTCATCTGTCTTTAATTACAAGTCAAGCGAATTATATTGTCATAAATACTTGATGAAGATAGTGATATTTTAGACTACTATAATTTCTGTATTTACCCTAACTTTTCATACACTTTAACCAATAATCTTTGCATTTTTATCCGTAAATCACTTGGAAGTTCACTTCGTCTAGTGCAATACTTTTCTACAGTCGAATGATCACCAAGTGGTAATCGATACCATGTTTATATAGTTCATTTTAGTGTTGATGCAGTTTGATCGATTCATTTTGCAATATGGACACTAATTTAAGTGCTCTGGCAGAGGGTGGACTATAAGGAGATGTTAAGGAGTTGGAAGTAGTCAACAGAAAAACCTGGACCTAAGTTTTGGGGTAGTTGAAACTCGTCAATAAGGTGTACTTGCAATCTTGAAAGGACTAGAGCTGTCTAACAGAGTCCCTTAAACTGGTGGTTTCATTTCAGCTCGACCGTTAGGACTCAGTGAACACTAATAAGGAAAAGATAAAATGTCATTACTTGGTGATCGATCGATTAAAAAGGTTTCATTACTACAGGAGGTAGATCACGATCACAATAGTTTGATGATAACCATTCATACTTTGCAGCTGAGTGATATAGGACTGAATCAAGTATGCAGCACCAATCCTTTCAAGGTTACAGTTACAACCTATTGTCGAGCCTGAACTAACTCAAAGCTCAAATCCATGGTATCATGGCTACTACCTTCTAATCATCTTAAAATACATTTTACAGTGAATAAGACCTAGTTTATAAATATTGTTGAATTTGTCATTTTAATGTTCCATCCTTTTTGTTCTGCATAAAAAGAAAGGAAATAGATTTATCGTTTTACAAACGACACTAATTTCATCATATTTAATAATACTGAAATTCCCCCCAACTTGTATTTCACAATGTCAATGATTATTTTTAATACATTCTACAAGTATGATAAAAATTGTCTAATTTCCAAGCTCTGATGACTAGTTTGCATTAGTCAAACTGAACGCTACCGTTCATTAGCTATGCAATTGAACTATTATAATTAGGCAACACAATATCATTCAAAAAAATTAACATTTACTACAGTGAATTGTTAACTTAATTCATTATTTGTTCTATTTTATACGTTACCACTTCAATGTTTATTATGAAAGAAAGTATATTTCTTTTTCGTAACAACGAGGTCTTTAACTTTATTAAATATATAGAATTCTAATCTACATTCCTTATTCCAAGCATAACGAAACTCATATTTTTAAATGTTAAGTGATTTTGCTGTGAAAATATTCTCAATAATCAAAAGCATTCGTCTAATCATATTCTCAATTCAAATAATAAGTATTTATGATAACTAAAAGTCACAAAAATAGTCGATTATCATATATTTAGCACAGATTTTTTTTTGAATTCGCGGAATAATGGAAATTGAAAAATAAGCATTTTTGACTTACCTAAAAATTGATTATTGCATAACTTTGCATCTGAAATGGTTGATTCTATCATTTTAGTCAACGCAATAATTTATTATCATTATAATGTTGTAGTACATGAGATAAATTTTATATGATAGAAAGTGATCTGCTGCTGTTAATGCAACGGAAGAAATAACACATTTCTGAATCTCTTTTATTAAGTATGAATTTGCCTATATGTATGAGTAAAGTTGACAGATTATTAGTTAATGTGCTCAGCTCTCTTTGTTTGTTTGTCTGTCATTAAGATAATTTTTATCTGTTCCATTACAAATAATGTTTACAGAATATTCTCTTCCACAGTTTTGTTTGTATGCCACGTTAGCTTTTCGTTTAATTTCCTATCTACTCCGTTTATCCAATACAAATATACCTACAACCCGAATGTATATATTTATATATATATATTTGTATATAATGAGAGGGAAAAATAAACCACTTTGAGATTTTACTGCCTGTATTATAAATTGATAGGGAAATTCTGTTAATAAAGTAACCTATCCATTGGTTAATATGATTTAGCGTTTAAATCGGTTGTTTATTTTCGTTGCATCACACAATAAATATTACTTTATTGGTTATGGTGTATTTATGTATTTATTGAACTAATTCTAAAAAGAAAAGTGAGTGCAGTGTTTAATGCTGCTTAGTTTGCAAAAGTTAAATAGTTTATTCAATACTGTATGATTAATAGCTAGTAAGAGATTGGTCATGCATCCAGTTGAATAGGTCAGGCAACTAATCTAGAGCTTCTCTTCTTTTAACGGTAAAAACAAGTGACTACGCAGATTACCGGAATTGTATCATATATTTGCACAATACACTTCGAACAATCTGGTCACACATATACTTGTTAAGATGTTATAGATGAAATGCTAAACTGATGGTTATTAATATTGCTGTACTGGACAGCGACTATGAAAACTAAGTTAGTGCCCTATCCATGTCGGCTTTGTATGTAGAGAATGTTTGATAAAATCATCGTCTGTTCTATCAATTAGAATGTCTAGGAAAGGGAAAAGGTCATTCATCTCTTCTTTGCCAGTAAAACAGATATACTTTTGAATCATGTAGCGTTCCTTCAACGAGAGGTTCAAATCTTCACGATTATCACTTATGACCATGATGTCGTCCACTAACCACTTATGCACAAGTTTTCTGTCACAAATTTCTTTCTTGTCATCCTTCGTACACACAAATGAAACTTTGAGGTCTCATACAGAATTACCTTGATCGAAAAAGATATGAATTAAACATGTTTAGACCTATCAGTTAGTTGTTTGTTTTGAAGAAATGAGTTGCATTAAGTCACGGAACTTCGTAAATACAAATTTCTACTGGTTGGAATATCACTGAAAAAATATACTTATTTGTTTATTTTTAACTTTCCACCTAATACTCAGTTTATCAAGTGCAACCTTGGTATCAATAGCTAAATAAACGTACCCTTTCGATGTAAACACGTTATTTACAAATGTAATTCTTAAGAAGAGTGTTAATATTTTATGCATCTATATCTCATTTTCTGTAAAAAAAAAAACTTAAAAATCTATGATTATTATCTATTAACAATGTGGAATTCACTTTCGAGGGGGAGCATATTTTTACAGATTAATGGTGCAGCTATGGACAGAACTTTAGGATCTGTGCTAGCTGATGTGTTTACTGCATATGGGGAAACTCTCCATTTTCTTCTTGTACATTAATTAATACGAAGCATTATCTGTAAAAACTAAACATGAATTTTTTTATCATATCATAGCTGATGAAATAGTATAAAATAAAATAAATGAACTGTTCAACTTAATGGAGAATATTACAACCAACGCTCGATTTTTGTTAGTGTAAACCGTAAGAACCAATTGATGAGAATGCAAAATGAATAAGACAGAGTTCAATAAATAACAATGAAAACTTGCTCTAGACCGATATACAAATCAATTCTCTCGAAAATATCACTTGTCAGCTGAATTATAAAAATGTTTTTACACGTTTGCTTTCCTAGTACCATAACTTCTGAAAAGTATATTGTTCGTCAGGTAATCACTGGATGGATACCTAGTGAGGTATCTAGCTCTTTAAATTACTTTCCAGCACATAAACATCATGAACTCATCCTAATTTTCTAGTATAGGAGGTTATGGAGATTGTTGAGTTTGTAATCTTACGTCAAAAACTGACTTTAACTTGACTACTGTTTAAACGAAGAGGAATGGAATAAGTTTTTCTTCTTAAAATGTTACTCCTTAGCATTGTAAATTCTATCCTTCATCTAGAGGGGGATCTAAACGGCTTACGGACAAAAATATCTGCATTTGTTTGTTGATGAATAACTTCGGAAGGAGGGTAATTACCAAAACTTTATTGACCAGTCTTGACCAGTGATGTTTGACGATGCATAGTTTAAGAGAGTTACACACCAATATCATTGAACAATAGTCGCATGAAATAGCAAATCCATTGAATTTATAAATTTAAACTAGTGAATGCCAACTCAGTAGTTTGAATATTAACCACTAGTCTTTTGGCTTAAAAGTCATGTACTCTATCCTCGGTGGAGTTTTAGATCTGAACCACTGAGCAGTCCCATACTTTTTTAGTTCTTTCTGGTTTTCAATGATCTTTCAGCTGCATGTTATCTGTAACTTAGGAACTGACTAGATTGCTGAATAGTAAAGTTGACTCTCGCAAAAGCTTAGCACTATCACGTGTTATAAAATGTAACCCACCTTGTAAATTACCTGGATCCAAAATACTGAAGGAACAGTTAGTTAATAGATAACATGAATTTCTCACTAAAACAGACTATCACTTATTTTCTAAGGAAGAAAGACAAATAAACTCCTGATTCCAACTGATGTGACTCTCAAATAATTTACCGTGATAATAAGGAATAAACAAGAGGTTGTCTGTAGTCCTTCAGTTTCTATATAATGTGTTCTTAGCTAATTTGTTCCATTCAAAGTAAACACATTTGCAAATGATAATACTTGAATTTATGTTGCATTTAGCGGTTGGACACAATTAATAGAATTTACTACTTTAATTTTTTGCCTTGGTTCATCTGTAATCTCGGAAAAAAATACTATACTATCGCAAAATTTATACAGAGCGTTTCAGAAATGAAGTGCTTAACGTTACTTCTGAGTCATTTACTACCTGAATTATCCTCCTTGGGGTTTGGTTGTTTAAAAGTAACTGGTTGATTGAATGACCTTGTTCCTGTAGGCATTTCATTCATGTCATAAACTTATTCAATGGTTTTTAATATGATCACTAAGTCGTGACTTAGGTGTATTCGTAATCAGTCGTCAAAAAACATTAACCAACTAAATTTTGAATTTACATCGCTTCCCGATAATTTTTTAAATTATATTAAATACAATAACTGAAGATCAACTATGAGTCTTAAGATTTTAAAAAAGTAAGTTGCTTTATTCAACAAATACGGTATTTTATTGACAACTTGAAAATAGATTTCCTTTCTGACTGTTGGTCAAGGACACAGGTCTTTTTAAGTACTACAAATCATGATAATCTGACAGTGTTATATTTCGCATAGATTTTCTCAGTAGTAAAATCTAAGGGAAACGTCAGACGTACATTTATTTCCTAATGAGTTGAGTTATCTCTCTCGATATTTTATCAGTCAAATCTTTATCAGTAATTAACCACTACATTATCACTCATTCATAGAAAAAACACTAACAATTATATAAAGTCTGGAACTTACGACGTAACAGAAAAGTTACTGCGTTATGGCAAAAAAATGTATCAAAATTTAACAGACACTCTACTTGGTCTAACAAAAAACAAAAGCTCGATCTATGAAATATGTTATGAAGGAGGGAATTGACAGGACATGTTGACTTGATTGAACTTCGGAGATGTGCTAAATTTAAATCACTCTATAGTACCTGAATACCCTTACACTCTGAATTTACTGTTTGTCAGATAATGGTGAATAAGAAAAAAAATAAAGACTAAGAATTTACATCTACCTGTGCAAACGAATTCGAAAACCAAAAACAATCAATTTTAGCTCATTCAAATGAGACAAAATGTACGTTCATCAAGAGCTACGCCGAATACTTAATTGCTCATAGAATAAGGCCATTATATGTATAAATAACATATCGTTACGAAAAACTATATACTATATTCTTGATCTTGCTTCTACTACTAGATTAACTATTCTTTCACAACACTACTTTTGTTATCCAGGTAAAGATTCTTGAATAATCAATATTTTTGTTTTGCCTGTATAATTCATAAGTTTAAACAATAAAAATATTTAATTTTCATTATAAATACAAAATAAGTTGTACTCATTAAAAGGCACACTTTTACAAAAAATTTCTGACACCATCAACTAGTCATATATATTGCAACTAATCTACTGAAGAATTTATATGATAAAATGTTACTGAAAACTCTGTAGTTTTTGTTTGGCGTAATGGGAGTTTTTAAAATCAAAATCTAAACTTTTACTTTACAGAAATTGTAAAACTGTATCTCCAAGTGCACTCGAAACCATATTAGACAATCCAGAGCGATTATTTATACCTGTCTTTAAAGTCACAATCAGAACGGATTACTCAATGAATGCTTCTTTTAGTTTCTAAACTAAATCCCATTTTTTTTGAGTAGACAAAAGAAAATCTAGAAAATATAAGCTACCGCTGAAATGAAAATCTTGAAATTTTTACATTCAGATATCAAATTTTGATGAATACGCTAGGTTATTGACTGAGTGACAACATATTGAATGTAAAACAGGAATTTATTTAGAATTCTCTAGTTTCATTATTTCATGAAATTTTTGATATAAATTTTCACATTATTCTAAGTTTCATTAACTACGTCATAAGTTTGCAATAATAGATTATTTTATACGTAACTACACCAGTAAACATAAATGAAAAACTGTTGTCCAAGGTTCAATCTCCAGTAGGGTTGTAGGTGCTCGCTGCCGTAAGACACAAATTCTCCCTCTCCAAACGAGACTGACTAATAACGGAAACAATATTA